TCGGGCGCGGGGCTGTCGGTGCGAGAGGGCGGCGGGGCGGGAGGGTGTGGTACAGGCGCGTTCCTCCCAGATCCTAGAATGGCCGTGTAAATGGAGAGTTGGTGCCCGCGGGACCGGCCCGCCAGCCGCCTGCCGGGCTGGAGATGGCCTCGTGGGAGATTGTGGGCGGCTTGCTTAGCTCTAACCCACCCTTCCTGGCCAGTGGACCCCCCAACTTTACACCACACGCACCTTCCACATACGGCTTCGGTTTCTCATCTGGACAGCGTTGGAGGGTAATGTGGTGAAACCTGGCCTAGCATGGGCCCAATCGTGGTACCGACTCTTAACTGGCAAAGTCAGCTGAGAAGGAAGATATTACTCACTGTTGGAAACTTTTTTTTTCCAATTAAAAATGCGTTCTCCCCTCCCAGCCAGTCCTTTTTTTGAGCTGTCCAAGAATAAATCCGCAGTAGGCTTTAACCAGTGATATACACTTAGTCCTTCACTTTCTGCCAGTGCTATCTGTATTTGAAATCTGGAAAAACTCTAAGATATAAAGATTAGAGCATTGGAAAGCTGTAGGTGTATTCTTTAGGAATCAGTTCTTAGAATAACATAAAATCTATTTTCCTATAAGAGTTACTGTACTAAAAAATTTTGTTTTGGATGGCTTCTTTTTTTCTCTTTGATAGGGTGCAACAAAATGTAAATGACTGCATAGTTGGTACCAAACCCATTAGTTAGTATAGACTGAGTAGGGTAACTAGTTCAAAAGACAGAAGAAATGAGTGAATTCCTGATATTCAGCCAAGGAATGTGCCAAAGAGAATTGAGCCAACCATTATATGGAAAGAGAGTGTACTTGCTTCTGCATAGCTTTCGTGAAACGTTTAAGTCATGTGAAAGTTGGTCGTATATATCAGGGAGAGAAATGGTTAACTTTTGTATCTGCCACCTTTTATTGACATTTGACGATTTTTTTCAGTGGTTTTGTCAGAGTTTTTGAAATGTTGATAAGCTGGTGATTTTGGCAGTAGCGAGGGCATGCCCTTTACTCTTGCCATCGGTTCCTGTGGTCAACAGTAAAAACTGTGCATGATTTACTTGTAGTACTTAGAGATTTTTCTTTTGTCGGACCTGGAGAAATGGATTACCTCATGCCTCTGATTTTTTGTCATAGTCCACAACTGAAAATTAGTTAGCCTGTGGTTTGTTTTAAAGTTTATGTATAAAACAAAGTGTTTGCTGACTTAAGAGTAGCTTCTGGTAGTTATAGATTAGGTTTCAGAAATATGGGATGCTTTCCAGTACTCTTAGCTTAATGTTGTTAAGCATTGGTGTTGGTGCATACACAACTGTTGGAGAAGTTTCAGTTGAAACTACAAATTTGGACTTTTGGTTATTGCTGAGATGTGATATGGAATCATCACATAGGAATAAGTCAGTTGATAACTGAGTTTCTTAACCATGGCACTATTGATACTTGTGACTGGATAATTTTTTATTTTGGGGGGCTGTCTTTTGCATTTGTTAAGAAGTTTAGCAGCATTCCTGGCTTATACCCACTAGATGCCAGTAGCACCCCCAAATCCCTTTTCCCCTATTGTGACAACCAAAAATATCTCCAAGACTTTACCAAATGTCTTCTAGGGGCTCAATTGCCCCTGGTTGAGAACCACTGTGTTAAATGTATACAATCTTTTATAGGACAGTTTGAATTGTTTCTCACAGGTAAATTTATTTATTTTTCACTGTACTTATATTGAGCATCAGTAAATACCAGTTATATGCTAGGGGCTGGGAAACAGTTAAATAAGATATGGGCCCTCCATTTACAGCTCACAGCTTGGTTATGGAAGTGGACATTTAAAAGTAATTACATGCTACACTAATTGGGGGGATCACTTCGTAAATTAAATAAATGTCTAAAAACACTATGCTGTACACCTGAAACTAATATAAAATAATATTAAATGTCAACTCACATTGAAAAATAAAAATTAAAAAAATAAAAGTAATTACAGTATTATGTAATAGAAGAATGGAGAGTGCACTGGATGCTACTTTGTAGGAGGGTGTTTGGATAATCATGGAAAACTTCAGGGAGGAAGGCATGTTTAAAGCTCAGAAGAGGGAAGGGCGTGTCTGGCAGAGGGAATTGCAAATGCCATGACAAGGAGTCATGAAAGGGTGGATAATATTAGGGGGATGATGAACTATCAAGTTTAGGAAGTGAAATATGTCTAGTAACTGGTGGGAGATGAAGCTGCAGGAGTAGCTACAGACCAGATTATGACAAGCCTGGGGTGCCTTTGGAGTTCAGCTTTTACCTTGTAGATGGATCAGTGTTAATGCTCAGAATTTTATAAGACCTTTTGATAAAAACCTTAAGGAAATCTTGTGATTTTATTAGTACTTTAGAACCTAGAATATATATTTTATTAACTCCATAGTGATATTTACTAACAAATATAACTGGAATCTTTAAATTATGTGTAACAAGGTAACCATTTTATTTTGATAATCTTGATAATTTTCTCGGCAGAGATATTAAGATGTAAGATTAAATCTAAACTTGTTGCTTTAGAGATTTGTTTGAAATGGACTCTATGCTTTGAAAGTATATTGCATTCCTTTAACATTATGTTTTTAGATGGCCTTTTCATTTAACTGTTGTAATTTTCTTCTAAATAGTGTCCTTTAAATAGCATTTTTGAAAGTAGAAACAAGCAATGCGCTTATAATAAATTATAACTCAGAGTCTTTAAACATCACCAATAAAATCCCAGGGTACTTTACAGAAAATTAGGTTTCTAATTCTCCTCCTCCTCCTGCTCCTTCTTCTTCTCTTTCTAAAGGATGTCTCTCTGAGGCTTGAAGGGCCTGAAGAAAATATCGAGATAGCTTCAATATATATGTATTGACTTTTTTGCGTGACAGTCCTTTGAAGAGACATGTGAATTTGAAGTGCTTGATGGCCAGAAAGATGACCAGCATTTAGTACTTTAGGTAGTCCGTAAACTTTGTTGCAATTTATTTCTTAAGGATCTTACTGTGATTTAACATTAGTGTATTTGATGTACTTTTCCTGGTATATATCTATGATATTGCTAAAGGAAAAATGAATTTAATTATTCTAGAACTGTAGGAATAGGAGGCTTCTTTTCTGGTCAACAGGCCTAAAATGAGGAAGTAGAAATAGAGATTCAGTGATTTACCTAAAGCAGCACACTTAGATGTCAAAACAGACTACAACCAATTTTTTCCAACTTCCAATCCATTTCCCTTTTCCTGGCACCTTGTTGCCCTTTTCTCCCACACTCAACTGGTGTGGTTAGCACTATGCTAGTCACTGTGGAAGATATAGGAAAAATATAAGACATAACTTATAACTTCTTCCTCAAGGAACTTATATGTTTAAGTGCGAAAGTAAATGATATAGACAATAAAGGCTATAGTAGTACAGAGGAGGAAAGATCAGAAATGAACTTGTGTGATGCGATTTTGGTGAATATCTGTGATTAGGAGAGAAAGAGACAAGTTTCATTCTAGGAAAGAGTTAAAAAATGAGCGAAGACTCAGAGATGGGAATGAATTCATTCTTCCTGCCAGCCCTCCTTCCTTTGCATATTGCCTTTTAATAAACAAATATTTATGACACTTGCTATGTGCTAGATTCTGGGGATACAACAGTGAATAAGACACAATCTCTTAAGTAGCTTAAAACCAAGTGACTTTTAGAGAGAGAGAGATATGTTTAGAGTAGAAAGAAATTGAGAGAGAAATTTACAAACATAGTGTGACACCTCATTTTGGATATTCTTGTCTAGCTCAGCCCTGTCCAGTGCATATGAGTCATATATGTGATTTAAAGTTTCTACTAGCCACGTTGAGATAAAGTCAAAAGGAAGAGGTGAAATTAATTTTAAAAGTTTATTTCCTTTGACCCAACATATCTAAAATATTTTTAAAGTAATCAATATAAAAAATAATGAGATATTTTACATTCTTTTTGTACTAAGTTTTTGAAGTCTGGTATGTATTTTGCACTAACAGCACATTTCAATTTGGACTAATCATATTTCAGCTGTTTTAACTGCTATTTTTAACTTTTTATTTAGAATTAATTTCAAACTTAGAAAAAATTGCAAGAATAAAACAATACAAGGAACACCTGCATACTCTTAATCTAGATCTATCTATTATTAACATTTTATTCTATTTGTTTTATCATTTGCTCACTTTCTTTTCCCTTCTCCTTCCCTTTCCCTTTCCTTTTGTCCTTCACCCCTTTCCTCCTCCTTCTCCTTTATGGTGGTGGTGGTGGT